GTTCCCATGGAGGTGCGGAAGGCAGTGGAATTCGCCCATCGACAACTGGGACATCCTTCCAGAAGCACCTTGGTGAGAATGTTGAAGATGAGTGGAGCAACAGAAGATGCCCAACGGTGGGCGAGAAGATGGACATGTGATGTCTGCGCCCAGCGGGCGGCTCCACGACACCCTCAAGCGGCTGCGCCGAGTGTGAGGCCTTATGGGTTCAATCACCACGTGCACTTGGACCTCAAGTATGTGTACGATTGCCGCAAGAAAAAGTACACATGTTTGTCAATGCTGGACTTGGGGACGGTCAAGCACGATGCGGTGATGGTCAAGTCCAAGCAGAGCACTTACATCGCCAAGAAATTCTTCCGACACTGGATCTCCTTGTACGGAGTCCCTGGAAAGGTCACGACAGACCAAGGAGGAGAATTCGAGCGGACCTTCACCCTTTACTTGGAGCAGCTTAGCATCCCGAGTGAGGTGACCGCTGCTCATGCCGGATGGCAGCTGGCAGCTGGAGAGAGGCATGGAGGCCTCCTTGGAGATATGCTCGATGCCGTGGTGCAGGAACACAGTCTGCAAGGCTATAAGGGCCTCAAAGAAGGACTGGCTGCGACAGTAGCCGCCAAGAATGGCACGCTCACAAAGGATGGCTACACGCCAAACCAACGAGTGTTCGGGTATGAGACCCGGTGGCCATCCTTGAACGATGAAGACCCCAAGATGTCCTTTGCAGAGGGCGTCTCTGTAGACAGTGAGGTGTCCCGAGCGCATAAGATGCGGACAACTGCACGGATTGCCCTCTTGAGGAATGATGTACGAGAGAAGGTGCGGAGAGCCGTTTTGCGGAAGCCGGCTGTTTCCCACTCTGGACCTTTCATTCCTGGTGCACAAGTCTATTTTTGGACACCTAGCACACAAAAGGGGGTGCGCTACAAGAAGGGTGGTGCATGGCGCGGCCCAGCCACTGTCCTCATCAGGGAGAAGCCCAAGAAGTATTTTGTCTCTTGGCGTGGACGGCTTTTGTTGCTGGCAGAAGAGAACATGAGGCTAGCAACGAGAGAAGAGCTGGCACTGACGGAGCCCGTTCGTGAAGAGATGGATGGTGTCGGTGATATGCTCAGGGATGGAGGCCGACAGAACATGTACAAGGAACTACGACCACAGCCTCCTCCACCACGCAAGAGACCCAGACGGGCGGCAGTAGATGCATCGACAAGACCGCCTGAGCCAGAAGAGAGCAAGCGAGCACGCTTGATGATGAGAGGCTCAAGGACGGTAAGGAACCTTTTGAAGGATCAAGTTCAGCGAGCCGCCCAGATGCTTCGGAGGAGGAGAGCGTTAGCAGATGCTTGCATGCCGGCAGCGCCGAGCCCGAAGCGAAGAAGGGCATTACCAAGTCCACCTGCTGGTGGCGATCAGATGCCCCTGGCGGCGCCAGAACAAGTACGCCCGGCTGCGCCGCTGGCTTTGCCACCTCCTGCACGGGAGGTGCGACCAGAGGATGTCCCTGTGCCCATGGATGAATTTGATGATGAGCCCAATCGAGAAGAAGCAGTGGCACCCAGGGACGAGGATTTTCAGCAGCTGCTTAGACAGCAGACCACGGAGGAGAGGCAGCGGCATCTCCTGGATGACTTGCCAATTTCCATTCGGAAGCGGCTGCATGAAGATGATGATGATACGGGGGTTGCACCACCAAACAAGAGAGCCAGAGTGTCTCAAGAGCTGGTGACTCAGGTGATGCTGAGCACGCTGGTCACCGAAGAGAGAGAGATAGCGAACGAGTGGGTTTCCCGCTATGAACTCTCGCTACTACGGGAACTCACGGGGCTCCCCATCACGGCAGCCCGGTTGCACCGGCAGCCCCGCAAACGGCTAGCGCGGCCGCCCAAAATGGCCAGCAGAGCAAGACTCAGCATTTTGCTGGGGAAGGATCCACGGAATGCTTTCGTGGTAGAGGAAAACACCGAGGAGGTGCGACAACACCCGCGTCGCAAAGCGGGGTTCCCCTGGAAGGGGATCACAATGTACTACAAGGAAGCTCCAAAGAAGAAAGGAGAGAAAGTCCGAAGCTATGTTGAGAAAGATGGGGAGATCTATGAGGTGTGCTGGAGTTCACGCCAACGGAAGCTTTTTGAACGAGAATGGCTGGCCGAGATGAAGGATGTGTTGATGAGCGAAGTGATGTTGCTTCGCATGAAGGCCAGTGGAAAAGAGCTGGACCCGAGATTCTTCAGCGAGGAGGAACGGTCCAAGTTCGCAGAGGCGGACAAGAAAGAGTGGGCTCAGTGGATACAGAACGGAGTGATCAAAAGACTGAGCCCCGACGAGCAGAGAAAAGTGCCTCGAGAGGCGGTGTTCAAAAGCCCCATGCGGATGGTGCGGGCGAACAAGCAGCAGAAGATGTTGCTTCCTCTTCTGGCCAAAAGCAGGCTGGTGATCCCGGGTCATCGGGACCCGCGTCTGGGCCTTTCCGGACGGACGCGCCCACGACCAGCCTGGTCTCTGTGAGGATGGCGAAGGCCATCAGCCAATTCAGATCATGGATCTGCTGGAGCTTTGATGTCACGACGGCATTTTTGTCGGGCCTGGAGACAGATCGTCAGATCTACGTGAAGGCTCCAGCTGAGGGCTTGCCAGCCGCGGAGGGCTGGAGTGCCATCTTGCCCTTTGAGCTTCTGCGCATCCTCAAGAGCGCATATGGCCTAACGGAAGCTCCGAGGCTTTGGTACCTTCGGGCAGTGCAACTGATTAGCCAGACGCCGCTGAAAGAGCTCCCGATTGCCAAGGCCACATTTGCGGCCAGTGAAGGCGGCATCAGCTGGGCAATCTTGTGCCTCCACGTCGACGATGGACTCCTTTTGGGAGATCCAAATGACAGTCGATTTGTCAAGTTGAAGGCACAGCTGAACAAGCTCTTCAAGATCAAGGAGTGGAAGGAGACTCCCTTGACCTTTTTGGGAGTAGATCTGGAGAAGGCTGAGAAAGGGGGCCTCTGCGACAACATGGGAGCCTACATTCGGAACATCAAGGTCCCTGAGATGCAGAAGAAGAAGCCGGATGAACCTTTGGACACGCAGGGCGTGACACAATACCGCCAATTGACTATGCGACTTCGATGGCCGGCTCAGTTGGCAATGCCTCACAAGCTGTATGGGATCAGCTCCTTGGCTCAGAGAGTCAACCAGGCCACCTACAAGGACTTTCAGGAAGCTGTGAAGCTACACCAGAACTTCCTGGAAGAAGAGAAAGCTGGCAGAGCCAAGCTGCGTTATCCCATTAATCGTGGGAGGCCGTATGTTTTGAGCTTCTTCGACGCCTCCTTGGCTTCCTCACGACAGATGGAGTGAAGGAAGGGCCACAGCTGGCAGCCCCGCTGGAATTCCACACCTCCCGAAGCACCAGGGTGGTGAGAAGCTCAATGGCGGCAGAGAGCAACAGCATGTCCCTGGCAGTGGACAAGCACCTCTATTTGAGGGCGCTACTGGACATGTTGTGGTTCGGTGATACCACCTCACCCTCAGCGGACTGGAGGTCCAAGCTTCGCCATGAAGGCGGCCTGGTCACAGACGCCAAGAGTCTTTACGACCATGTCCACACGACAGGCCACGTACCAAGTGAGAGGCAGACTATGCTTGACCTCCTCGTGGCCAAGGACATGTTGGAACAAAAGGCATACCAACTGTTCTGGGTTCCGCCCCATCAGCAGCAGGCAGATGTGCTCACGAAGCGCATGAAAGGGACGCTTTGGGAGAGCTTCTGCCAGAACCATCGCCTGTCACTAAAGCAGACTGACGCAGAAAGGCGATTGGAGGAGCGTAGGCAGCGCCTTCGCAAAGACCAACGGCAGCGCCGGAAGGTCAAGTTTGGCCGAGCCAAAGCTGGCAGCGCCGGCCGTTAATTCGACCACATGTCAACACCCTTTTCTAGGGATGTGAGAAATGGTGGTCGGTGCACGTTTTTGCCATGTGGTGGCTTTGACTTGAGACCGCTGACGCATCCGCAGTCAGCGCTGGCTCGCATGTTAGAAAACATTTGCTTCGGCCGCGACCGCTTGCTTTGGTAGCTTTGTTTTTACTTCGCGCTCCGCAACAGTTTCTGAAGATCGCAAAATAGATCCTGAAGATCCCAAAATAGTTTCCGAAGAATCGTTTCTGAAGAGTAGTTGCGGAAGAGTACCAAATAGTTGCGGAAGAAAAGTTTCAGAAGAATGGAGAGTTGCGGAATAGGACTTTATTCCCCTTTCCTCCTAGTAGCTTCTAGCTACTAGTAGTCAGGCCAGGAGCCCCTAGTAGCGTCCTTGCTCCTAGTAGCGATGCCCTTTGCTCCTAGTAGCTTCTAGCTACTAGTAGTCAGGCCATGAATCTGGCGTTTCTTGGCTTGAAATCTGTGAGGTGTTCTAAAAATGATGCAGCTGAGCCGTGCTCTTGTTTCCATCTATGTGGAACCCAAGACATTATACAGGGCGTGGCATTGGATAAAGTGGTGCAGCAACCATGAAGGTCACTCTTGTCGCACGGTCAGCATCGCCTTGCTCCCGGTCTTTAACTGATGGCTGAGAGGACCTCCAGGAAAAAACAATGGTGGATCCTAGGTGGGAAAGACTTGTCGAGCACATGAGTACGTGAGACCGACCAAGCCGCGCAGTATAACAAACGCATACTACAACGCAGCATGCAGGCCACAGCAACTGCAGATGTCTGTGGCAGTATATAGATTTGATGGCGAGCGGGCGCAGAAATTGACTGTTGTCAGAGTTCGCTGCTGAGTTCACACCCAAAGGCTCAAACTTTGCACATTCATGACATGTTATAACCCGGTTCAACCAGCTACTGTAGTTCCACTTCTTTGAGCCCTCAAGTTGAGTTTTGTTTCAACTTGGGCTCCTGCACACTCTAAAAAGTGGCCTGTTACTTCCACATCTTCCACTCCCTTGTATACACTCCGGAGCAACTGACTGAAGGAGGTACAACGATGCAACCTGTTGCTCTGAAACATGCCCCTGCCTGCTTGATCCTTCATCATTGCGGTGCTTGATCGGCGCAACCATTGAAGACAGCAAAATGGGATACACACCAATCACTGCAATGGCCATAGCAACACGGGCCAAATTATCGAAGATCCCAGCAGGCAGGTCAAGAAGAACATTTGAAGAGACGGTTGGTCCAAGAACAAAATAAGCGACTGCAGAGAAAGTTGCAAACAGCAGTGCGACAAAACTGAAGCTGAAGGTCAAGCACACTGCGAAGCGCTCTGGGCTGCGGCCAACCATTTCTTCATACATTGGAAGGATGCACATTTGCACAACTGCTGCTTGCATAAGTGCACTAACCATTGTCACAGTGCCCTCCCCATAGCCTAGCAAACAGAAATCTTGCTCCGCCTCATCTTCGGACGGCTTGCGCCAGCCAGAAAAGCACAGCGTCGCCAAAAGAACGCAAACATAGATATTGGCAGCAATGCTTAGTGTTGATGAAAAGGCCAAATGCTTTTGATCTAGGAAGCATAGTGGCAAAATGACGCCTGCACTCATGAATACTCTGAAAGCGCGAGGCAACTCAGGCAGCAAAAGTTCGCTGCTGTCTGCTACTACGATCAAATATCCCACCAAACACATGAAAACAGTAAGCCAGATTGTCATTTCGCAGAATGCTTTCGCCACTTTTCCTTGGGCTGGAAGGCATCCAAGCAAAGCTCCCAAATCGAAGGTGTGATGCTTCTCTGCTGCATAAACCAATACCATATTGGTCGCTCCATTCACAGCGAGAATCACCAGCGTCAGCAAAATGGCCGATATGAGAGATGCCCCAGCTGTTGCCCATGGCAAGCTGAGAATGCCGCAGCCCAAAGTGGCTGTGATAAGGTTTAGACATAATGCCAAGTTTTCAGACAAGGCCGTTCTTGGGCTCAAGCCTGGCTTCGCAGTTTGTGCCACAAGGGGATCCGTAAATGCTCCCCCCATGTGTGCTCACGAAAGCGAGGCTCAAGCCTACTTTTCTTCAGAATGATCTCAAACAGAAACAACTGGCCACCGAGACAAACGCATGCTTTGCTGGAGGAAACAAACGCAGGAATGACTCTGACAATCTCTGACACACTTATCTTATCTTCTGCCGTTCTAAGTGCAAATTGTAGCTTTTTCATGTGAGCCGAGCAGCCGTTGAAAGCAAATATATAAAGGGTCCCAGCAAACTGCGACCAAAGGTGGTATGAACCTACCTTGCTCGGCTCTTTTTGCCTCTGACGGCTCGGTCGGCCTGTGAAACTGCGAGCAGCTGAGCACGTGATCCATCGAGATCCCAAGCCAACGGCGGCCAACATGGGCAAAATTCCACTGTCTTGACATCTTGTGCTCAGGTCTTCCGGGATGGTACTTCCTGCGAACTTCATAAACTGAAGGTGAAGGGTCAAGAACAAAGCTGGCATTTTGACACCATGCTTCGTTTGTCCAAGAAATGAAGAGCCTGCTTAACGAAGAGGATATCCCTGGTCAAGCAACTGCGTGTCCGTACGCGAAACTCTCTCTATGAGCTGAGGCGAAAGCTGCACACAGCTTGTAAGTATAGGAAGTCTCATCCTGCACTGCAAGTGCAGAAGTCTAGCAGTCTAGCACAATCCAGAGACGATGAAGTGCTTCTGAACTTCTGGTCCTTGCAGCCAACCGCACCTCAACGAAACAAGTATAAACAAGTATCCAGCACCACACTGAGGAGTCTCGGCTGTCGACCTGCTTCATTGTAGTTGCAGCAGCAGTCATCGAACGTTTGCCAGTCCTGGGACTATGAGTTCCACAAGCTTTGGGCTGTGGTCATGCACCATGGCCACAAAAGAAAAGGGGTCTGTCCCTCCATGAGGTGAAGATGACAGCCTGCTGTGCAAACTGGACAATGAATGGGCGCCTTGCAACAAAACAACGGGACACATGGTGCACCTGGTAGGAACACAAAGGCCACACCTGGGCATCAGTGTTGGATCATGGCTTGTGTAGCAAATGTAGCAGTACAAGTGTCCGACGTACTCAGCAGAAGCAAGGAGAAGCTTCCCAACATCAAAGTTAAAGTCCTGACTGTTTTGTTTTTGGTGTCCACGCATCGTAGGAGTGTACTGCCCTGGCTGATTGCAGTATGAGAAATGCTTCCTCCGGCATTGTGCAGGGTCGAGTGCTTGCTTGGCACCTGCCACTACAGGCAGCACTCAACTACAAATCTGACGGAAGATTACAACGAACATTTGTAGTTTCAAAGGTGCTGTGAACGCGCAGGCGTCTGACCAACAAAGCCGGTACTCCCCAGCAGATATGGACTCAGCTTGACCTGAAAGTCGTCCAGGCAAATCGAGGGCGGCTTATATAGTCTCAGCCGAGTTGCCAAGGTCATAGGTGCCAGTGGAACCATCCGCCGAGAGAGTCCTTGTCTGCAAAGCCATGCTCAACTTTCAGTCAGTCACTTAGGCTGCGACATTCTGCTTGAATACCCATTCAGAAGTGGGCCAATGCCTTCGAGAAAGATCAAGTCTGAATCAAATCCATTCTGTCTCCGCTCGTGAAATGCGCTGCAACATGATCAACAAGGCCTGTGACGACATCACCAGTGCAGCCTCCAAGTCTCATCGACGGTCTTGTGCCAGTCTGCAAATCATGTTGCCGAAGGATCTGAATCAACTTTGTGAAACTTCTAGAGTGGAGAAAGAGGGCTCTCATGATGTCTCACTGCTGTATGCCCTGCCTTTACCAACAGTTGATCTCCAGCCGCCATCGGCTTAGCCGAAGCCAGCTGAACATCCTCCAGTTCCGACTGGCGGTGAAGAGCCAAATACTATGCTGATGCTGAGGCTGCAACGCCAGAACAAGGGCCGCGCATGTAACAGGTCTGAGCTGACAGTGAACATAATCAAAATAGCTCCGCAGGGCTCCAATGGCAAGGCCGCCACAACATCTAGGTCAGCTGCAAGCCTCACCTTGGCCGAAAGTAAAGCGCACTTGCTAAGTAGGTCCAGGTCAGTGTCGGATATACACTGGGGATGAGACCAATGTAATAAACCTCAGTTGCAGCGGGACTTGTGCAAGTAATGTCGAAATTGAATGCTCAGAATGTCTGACGCTCGTTGGGATGCGGTTTCTAGGCTTTGAACCCCGCAAGAATCGTGAAATCTGCTGGAGTCCCAGGGTTGCAATTGGAGAGTTTGCTGCACCTGCTATTGCTATCACTGCCGTTGCCCATTGTTCCAGTTGCCGCTCACAATGCTTCATGACGCAACCAAGCTGGCCACACCAACAAAGCCTTGGTGTCACTTGCACTCAGATTATTGGAGTTGCAAGTTTTGCGGCCTTAGTTCCAAGCTTGGCTATCATGCCCTCAGCAGCCATGATCGGTTCTGGGTCGAAAACTCCAGGATCGTCCGGCAAGTTCTAACAGGAAGGCCGTGGTGCGAATGGCAAGGGCAACTGCCGGCCAGCCTCCTTCTCAAATCGGTACCAAGTGCCTCCTGACAAACTCAACACGTGGTTGGACCCTCCAAACAAGTCCAAGGTTATGGATCATCCTTGATGAACACCGGCAAGGTCTCGAGATTCGGGGCTGCGGCCTTCAACCGCAATTTGAAACCCCAAGCCTGTACAACCTCTTGCACAAGAAAATGTAATTGTTCATCTCAGAGTGTGGCTTATCATCACGCCGTTGTTTGGCAAACCAGGTACCTACAGCAATGCTGTTGGCAATGGCAGCAGCACAAACGCTACGTTTGGAAGCAGCAACCCCATGGCAAAAGGATTGGATGTATGAACAATAACAATAATTCGAGGTGTGAGGCGCAGAACAACAAAAAACACACATGTGTTCAGGAACCATAGGCCTGAATATGAACAGTGGGACAACCAACGAACTATATACATATTGCACCCGCATTGGAATTACACTGGGGGAAACTAGGATGGCACAAGTAGGGTACTCCCAAGATAGGTAGATGGCACAAAAAGTTGAAAAAATTAGTGCGGTGTGGCCAGCCAAGCGCAAATCAACGCAAATTGGAGAGGTAGATGGTACAACGGGCGTGGGCAATCCATAGGAACTGAGCCGACTGTGCCAACTACCATTGCGTTCTATTTCTGAATGTAGATGGAACACCTGTGCCAGTGCATTCCTGCACCTGGGCTAGTGCCATCTACGGATGGCTTGCCTGATCGCACGCACCCACATGTTTTCCAACTATAGCAAATATATATATATATATCAAATTGAAGATGGCACCGGTAGAAAAACCAAAATGACGAACCCAGCAAGGATGGTTCCCCAATGGTCACATGGCTCATGTTTTCATCCGCTGCTAGATGGGGGGCTCGTGCCATCATGTTACGTCAGTCTTCGACTGCCGTCCTATCATCACATGGTCATGGGCCGACGTGTCGTTTCACACATCCCTTTCTGGTCCATGAACCATGACGGATCTCACACCTTTACTTCTCAAACAAAACAAATTCAACACACAAAAACAAACTCCAATTAAGTTCCCTTCTTTGCTTTTCCGATCCACATCAAGATCGTTGGGTCTTCTTTAAGCGTCATCCAACCTTGTTGTAAAACTCTTCGTAGAAGATCCAACCTTGCATTCAACTTGGTGAGTCCATCCACATGCAAGCATATGGTCTGTTGGTAACCATCTAATGTTGATGCCGTCTTTCGAAACATCCCTCTTGACCAAAAGCAAATCAATGGCCAATCTTTTATCTTTCATAGTCATCAACTGACCATTCAAGTGGTCAAACACAGGACGTGAATCCACTGCTACAGTCACTGGTGGTCGGGATGTCCATAGTTGGTCCTCTTCTAACTTGTAGTTGACATAGACAGCCTCCGTCCAAAGTGACCTGATCCACTTTGCTTCTGAGATCGTCCGAGAAAGTGGCAACAGTTCTGCCCCCAACGTCGAAGCTACTTGTCTGTCTTGTTTGTAGCTCCTCCATCGTAATGGGGATAGCACCGCCCAATCATCTAGTCTCAGACGGGCATCAGTCGCACATATCAAATATCCACCTTGGCTCTTCCATTGAGCAGCGTTGGCGAAACTGGCGTCAGACCATGCCGCGAACTCCACACTTTCTGGAGGAAGGAGGTTTCACACACAACTTCGTTGCTGAGAAATCTCGAGCCTGCGCAACAAGTTTGTTCACCTCAATCATGTCGTTCACCGTTGAACAAGCTATCTTTTGTTGCAAAAGTGAACATCCAGCGGCTAAATCAGGTCAGCTTCCAGTCGCTAGCCATTGCAATTCTCCTAGCGCTCCTCTCATCTGGGTCTTCTCTTGAGAATTCGTCTCACACTCTTTCTCTCTTCTTCTTTCTTTACCTATGGGAATGCACTGCGAGGTTTCCGCATACTCTTGTTGTTCAATCACAATGGAAAAGTTCTCATCTTGTTTCAACATCTTTCCCAAAAAATCCTCTTCACCACTCTTCACATGTTTAAAGGGGTACCGGGCTCGAAGCTTCTGAAATTTTTCATTCATGAAACTAGGGCTTCCACCAATCACTAAGCCATCGACATGGAATGCAATGACACCGTCAAGCCGTCCTCCAATGTCTCGACTGAAGAACATACAGCTGTCCAACTGTGACTGCATGAATCATGCCAATGTCTGACAACGCTTTGGTCAATGATGTCCACCACAACCTCGGAGCATCGACCAAGCCGTAAACTGGCTTCACCAGTTCACACATGGTGTCTTGTTCGAGCATCTTTGGGAATTCTGACCAAGATCTTTAAGATCACAGGTACTCGACTCCTGATCCTTTCGTCTCCTTCCGGGCGTTCGACCTCTTGCCTGAACACACGCATCACACCCTCGATCATATGGCCAATGTCCTCGACACTCATGATCGTACAACAAACTGCCTTCCAGCTCGGGTGATGGATCTTCCAGATCCGACGAGTGTGGACCATCAGGGTCATAAGGTGGCAACTCACCGGGCGGTTCCTCAACCATCGGACCTTCAGCCTCCGCCTCCGGACCTCTCGGATCGGGTTCAGTCGGGGTATACTCCTCTAGGTCACCACCTTCCAAATCAAGATCATCATCTTCCAAATCAACGGCTTTCAGCAAACCACGGAACATCCGGACAACATCGGTCTCCTCCGAAACTTTTCCGAAACCTCCGGAAACCCTTCTTGGTTCCTCCTGAACGTAAGCAAGGACACAAGATCTGCCTCAGATCGCTCAAAAACCTCCGAAAAAGCCTCCGAATCTCCGTCCGGACCTTCGGAAAAGAAGTCAAAAACCACACTCCTCCTGATCATCCTCCTTCCCCTTCTCAAACGTATTGGGCTCATGTTCACAAGACAAAACAGGAAAAGAAACAGGCTCATCACCACAAAAACGAAACATACGACACACATACGAAAACGACTGCAAAGAACCAGGCTGAGCGCACATCACTTCTCGACCCTTAGCTCTGGACTTTCCTGCCTTAGAAACTGGTCGCGCCTGCTCTGCCAGTGCCGTTTTGTCTGGAGATCTCATCTCCCTGCAAGAACGCACCTTCAATGTCCGCGATGGTGAGCTTCCATTGAAAGCTAGCCAAAATCTGGAGAACAACTGCGAATGCCTCATTGCTCAATGTCGGGGACGCTGTTTTTACGTCAAGTACATCAGGATCAAGGTATCCTCGAATGCACCATCGAGCCTTCAGAACACCTTCGTTGGTTCCGTCATCAGAGGTGTACACAAACCTAGATTCAAGAACCCTCTCCGAACCAACCTCTCTTTCAATCTCTCCAGCCTTTTTTCACCAACATGAACTTTCATGGCCCCAGAGTTCACGATCTTGTTCCACTCTTTCACTTCGGCCTTGTCCAACTCCTTTTGTTTTTCCAAAGACAGGTTTCGTGGGTTCAACTCCCTATGTTTCACCTTTCTATTCTTCTCAACCTGTTCCAAGGACCTGAAACCTTTTTCCCCTTGTCCGTCCTCAGTCACAAAAACATGCCATTGCATCCCTTTTGGATGACTGACACTGGTCGTTTCATGAGTCTCATGGGTCCTTCTAATAGGAGCTCCAAAGTCCAAATCATTCAAGTTTCGTCAGTCAGCGGTGTCGTCCGAATTGGTCCATAGCTAGGTTCCTGACTCCCCTCCACGGTCTGCACGTTTGTTTCATTTGTCAGGTCCATGGCAGCCTGTGGTTCACTATTCGGTTCTTCACTTCCTATGCTGTCACCGAAACATGGCTAAGTTGAGCACCCCCTGCTGGCACCGCGATGCCTTCTGCAGATGCGTCGACATTCATGTCCTGAGGTCCTGAGTCAACATGTTGAGCTTGTTCTGGTTGTTCAAGAAGTGCACCACCGCCGATCTCTTCCACGTCAACAACATCTGTCTGCTCTTCTGTCTCAACTCTCTCTGTATCACCGTCTTGTTGATCTCCGTCTTCACGTTCTTCTTCTGGTGGGCGACGATCTTTGTCAAGTTCAACCAAGTTACCTGCTCCTCTCTCACGCACTGTACTTTTCCAAGTTCGCAACGCAACAGGCAACCAAGATGCAAGCTCGACAACTTCACTGTCAACATGTTTGACTTGTTCTGGAGCACACCTGTACACCTTCGCGCCATACATGACCCAAATCCTATCATTTTGTACCCCGATCACTCTCCCTGGACCATGCCAGTGATGTTTCTTCTCATTAGGTGATTTTCTCCATTCTTACTTGGTCACCAATCTCAAAAGGGCCCCTGTTGGGTCTGTTCCGATGGCTTATTGCCCGTCTCACTCTTTTCTCGCAATCGGCATCGAGAAAAGCTCTTCTTGCTGCCAGTCGAATTGCCTGAGACTTCACATGCTTATCTTCCTTCTCTCTCAGGGCCGACTCAACTTTTTCGTTATCTTCACCAATCATGCCCAGAACTGGCACCCTGACATCAGCACCCAACACATGTTGATATGGTGAGTACCCATCAATCCGTGTCAAGGTATTATGGGCACAATTCAGATGATCACATAACTCTTCTGTTTCTTCCTTTGTCTGTGGGTCTAAGTTCTAATGCAGCTTTTGCAAATGCAACTTTCCAAGCACCACCAAGTCTTTCACAAACCCCATTCTGCCATGGGGCGTACGACGCTGTCACGCAATGCTCGGTTCCGTCGCCAGCAAGATGATCGGTCCACGCTGCACCAAACTCTGGTCCTCCATCACTCACAATTGCCTTTGGAACACCTGCCCGCCTTTTCCAATACCTTCTGTAAGCCTTGCGTACCTGCTTTATCTCAATCCCCTTCCAGAGGGGAATGCATACCTGATACCTGGTTGCCATGTCAACAATGTTCAACTTCAACTTTCTCTTTGGCAACTCAACTTCGAACGTGTCCACGCACAGCAGATCATTGAAGGCCATGTCTCTGATTGCCTTAGACACATAATATATGGCTCTTCTCACCCTGCATCGCATGACATGTCGGACAACTCAACCCCTTGGCCAACTTGATGCAGACATCATTGGCTCTCGCAGCTTTAAGCATGGCGACAAAGCGTGGTGTTGATGGATGTCCCAAATTCTCGTGACAACGCTTCAACAATGCAATGATCTTCTTCTCACTCGGATTTTCCAATGCTTGAACTGTCAACACGCAATGCACTGCTGAACTCTGCTGTCTGGCTTCCTGCTCGTCCCTTAGTCCAAGCAAGATGGCTTCACAAAACCGGGGGGAGATATTCCTGTGCAAGACGTGATCGCAGCTGCCAACCTTCCTTGGTCTTCACACTTCCTATGACATGTTCGTGTTCATGACTTCCATCACATTGCTTCTCAACCCTTCTAGCAATCTCCTTACTGTTCAACATGAGCCTAGTTTGTTTCCTATGCAGTTTCCCACTCTCGACGTCTCGAAGGCCGAACATGCGCTGGTCGATCACAATCTGCTGAACCCCTTCTTTCCTATGAACCCTTTCAACTGACACATCTTGCCATGATTTCGCACCATGTGGTCGCTCAAACAAAAACAAGTCACCTCTTCTTCAGCAATTTGCATTCCAAACCTCAAAACCTCCCTACTCTCCTTAACTCTTTGCGACCAACTCTTCATGTCAAGATGCTTGTTGAAACCCTGAAGCGTGCTCACTGCACCACATGGTGGACAGATCAGTGTGACGTGGCCTAATCTTCTCTAAATGTGCTCGCAACTTTGCTTTCTTTTTGGCGCTGCGAAGATCCCAACCTGTGAGGATATCATATGATCCCCCGCAACTCATGCCCACTTCCTCAGCTAGTTTACACAACCGAGGAATCGAGAAAATCTCTGTCACACCAACCCTGGAAGCTCGTTGAGCTGAAGTAATAAA